ATACAGATATGTAGACACACAATTGTGCATATAAAATAAAAGTGAATTTTAAAAGAAGAGGGGGGAAGATGGGAAACTCTTGTAAAGGGAAATGACATATTATAAGAATGGGTTAAAAAATACTAGACAACTTTCCAGGACTAACTCAAAGCCAAAGGAGGGAAAGAGCATGTGCTTTAGCATACATGGACTGTTAACAATGTTAATACAGCTGGAACCTGAGGAAGCTATGGGGAAAGGGCCAAGCTCCTAAATGCAGAGGTTAGGACAATGGTCTATGGAAAGTAACAGAAGGAGTTTGTAACTTAATACAATGCACTGTAAGAGCCCACGTTCCCGGATTAAATGAACCTTCAAGGTAACTCATGGTACAGTTAGCTAGGATTAGAAAAATACTAACTAAAACTCACAGTCTGCCAACAGGAAATGGATTGATATGGCTACAAAATGACCCCTCCCGGAGTCCATTTCCCTCTGTGGAAACTGAGAACTAAGATTCTGTTATACCCACAAAGCTTCCTTCTCACGGGAAGCTTCCTGTTCCTGCCCTCATCAGAAACATTTGGCACATGAGGAAAGGACATTCTGCTGAGAAGGAATTAAGAAGACACTGTATTGTTATCTGATCTCTTCTGTAATCCAACTTTCCCAAACTGGAATCTTGTTCAATACTAAGTTAATAGGACAAATCAGGTTATTATCCACAAATAAGAGTTACAATAGCTTAGATACTGAACACCAATCTCTTCTAAATTAGAGCTAGTTACTCCACATGAGGTAAGCTACAGAGTCAAACTGGACAGGAGACTGGAATTAAAAGATAATAAACTGTTTCAAGTGTTCCAAACATCAAATAAAATAAATGTTTCATGAAGTATCAATGACTGTAGACAAAGGGGAACATATAATTAGTCTAATTAAGGGGTGTGATGACACATACAAAGGATTTTTTTGGCTTGTTAGGGTGTCTTTCCTCACCTGCTACCTTCATTTCATGAAGACCAACTGATGATTATAGCATTCCTATTATATATCACATGTGATATAGTACATAGCATTCCTATTATGTATCAAATACGATATAGTATATAGTATTCCTATTATATATCACATGTGATATAGTATATAATATTCCTATTATATATCACATGCAATATTATGTCAGATAATGGAAGACAAAAAAATGAAGCTCAGATAATAAGGCTAATAGATTCAATATGATCCAGGAGTTTCTTCCTTAATGACTTTACCTGGCATACCTTTCTCTTTCTTTTTTCTTTTTTTGAGACAGGCTCTATCTACATAGCCCTGACTGTCCTGGAATTCACTATGTAGACCACACTGGCCTTGAACTCACAGGGATCCTCCTTCTGCCTCCAGAGTGCTGTGACTAAAGGCTGTGCCACCATGCCTGGTCATTTCTTTCTCTTAAAGATTGCTTTTTTGCCTACTCAGCCTCATCTAGATCAGATGCTAGGAATGACCATCCTAGTGATGGGAGACTTTAATATTTAATAAAATATTTGACACCTGCCATGTGTAAAAAGGTGGGGGGACTATGGATGAGACCCCAGAAAAGAAGCCGTGACTACACAGGCAGACTGACTGATTAGAACTTCAATGATGTGGAGAGGGTGGAATGTTACAGGTCCAGAGCCAACTTATCTTGGCTATCTTCAGCTCTTTTATGCCATTTATTGTCCATCTCTATATGATCTAACATCCTTGTGGCTATAAGGTAAATCCTTGGGAATGTTTGGACAGATTCCTAGCTCCTATTACCCCCAAAGCTAAGAATGCTGTCAGCATCTGCGGCCTGTATCAGAGATCTCCCCCACTTGCTGAATCCGCCAACCTGATGTTCTCATCCATGTATCTGGAAAGTATGATTTATACTTTTTTTTTCATGTTACTTCATGAAACTGATTAGAACCCAACAGGAACAACCCGAATCTGTGTTCCTGGGCCACGGTCACTGGTATTTGGCTCCAGAATAAACCATCTCCGTTTACTTTGAGGTACTGACACCATCTTCTTCATTGTGGGCCTAGTGTGGATGTCCACAGATGTAATGAGGGACAACCCTCTGGACAGCTAGTACTTGAATTCAAGCCTGGGAAAGACAGTGGCTGAGAGCAAAGTGGACAGACCTACATGGAGTAGGGAGGTGGGCGGGATGAAGAACAAGACCCACGTGGGGTGGGGCAGTGGGCAGGACAACGGGCAAGAGTCACCTATGAAAGGACTGCAACTGGGAAGGAGCTGTGCTCCCCACAGTAGCACAACAAAGCATGCACATGAATCTCAAATGCAGAAGAGAAGTAAATTTCAGAGACAGCAATGGAGGTGTTCAGAACATGCGACCCCAGAACACAGCGCTGCACTGTGGAGAACTGCCCCTGGAGCAGGTCACAAAACCTGGGTCTCTGGTCTTGTTCCTAAATGTAGGACACGAACACTCAAGTGGGAAGGGACTCTGTCTCTAAAGGTGGTGGGCACAGAGAGGGATGTCAATAAATCACCTGGCCCGCTTTCCTACCATCTGTTCCCAGGACTCCTTCTTCATAAACTCTACGACCAAAGGCACTAACGTTTAACTGTTTCTTTGGGTTTTCATGAAATTCCTGTGTCACATAAAACATAAATGTGCACGCTGTGTAAAGCTAAGATCCTTGCAGGGCAGAGGAGATGGACATTTCCCTCTCTCGTAAATTAAGTCACAGAAGGAGGACAACGAGGAGCGTGATTAAATCTACTTCGCTGACTGCCCCTTTCTGTGGGGACTGGAAGCACTGTCTGCTACCACCTAGAGCACACTTCCTCAAGAGTTCTGGAGGGACTGCACGGGATCCCAAGTGGCTTCCCATGTGATTCACGCTGTTGTAACCTGCTTACAAGACAGCACGTGGAGAGGCGGCTCAGCAGCTGGGGGTGCTGAGTGGCTCTTCCGGAGGATGTAAGTTTGGCTCCCAGCACCCAGGGCGTGTAACTAACAACCACCTGTAACTCCAGCTTCCGAGGATCCACACCTCTGATCTCCCCAACGTCTGTGCACATGTGTGTGCGCATACACATACACACACACACACACACACACACACACACACACACACACACACACCCCAAATACTAAAGGGGAACAAAAACAACACAAAAAACAAACACTGGATGTATCAACCTTAATCTAGGATAAGCTCCATTTTTTTGGAGACAGGGTCTCTCTGTGTCTCTATGTAGCCCTGGCTGGCCCGGAACTCACTATGTAGATCAGGCTGGCCTCAAACTCAGATACTGTTCTGCCTCTGTCTCCTGGGTGTTAGGATTACAGGCATAAACCACACCCAGCTAAATCTTAAAAATTAACAGCTAAAGTATATGCTACTTCCAGACTTCTCTATTAATCAAATCAATACAGCTTGTTTGTGGCTTAAGCCAATTTGAAATTGCTTTTCTGTTTTCAGTGATCTTACGGAACCCCAAAGAAACCACCGAGGGATGCTGAATAAAGCATCTCTCAGGTGGAAGCAGAGCTGCTACTGTTACTTCCCCAATTCAGTCCGTACTGTGACAAATGTTCACCTTTGTAACTTACAAAAATTTACAAAAAAAGAAAAAAAAGAAAAAGAAAAAGAAGCTGAAACAATTGAAGACCCACCAATTCCCTGCCCTCCTTGCTGTTTTAACATAACTAGATGAAAAGTTAGTTACACTATTATGACGAGCTTTTAACAGGATTCTATTTATAAACTTACAGCCATTTTAAGTTGAAATGATAAATTTACAGAAACCAAAGCTATTTAAAGCCTTTTTATCCAAGGGAAACAGTAGAAAGGAATTTAAACACCATGTCCAGAATGCAAGCGACAACATTACGGGCTTTTTTTAGCTCTGGCAAAGAACAGATTTTATAAACATATTAAAGAGAAATGGTATGATTTGTGATTACCCAAAAACTCCTAAAGTAGACAGTCCCTGTGGTACAGTGCTATAACCTTAGTACCCAGGAGGCTGAGGCAGGAGAATCTAAGAGTATGTGCCCGGCCCAGGCTTCAATCCCCAGCAGCACCAAAACCATAAAAATAAATACAATTATGGAGAAGAAAATAAACCAGATGCCAATGTTGTCTGGAAGGAGACATGAAAGAAACTGATAAGCCAGTTTGTGGCTGATTCTGTCTCCATGACCTATAGGCATATTGTGACGTTATGGTGGGACAATCTGTCTACAGTACAAAGACGTGCT